GGCGCTGCCGGGCCCGCCTGGAGCTGTGCTGCCGGCGGGAACCGAGGCCACCACGGCCCCGCACGTCTGGGGGCGCCGGCCGGAACCCCGACTGAGCCCTCGCATGGGGGTGGGGGGCCCTCGGGGTGCCTCCGGGCCAGCCTGCCTGCACCCCTTCCTCAAGGCCCGAATGTCGTCCACTGGGTGCCGTCGGAGAGATACGAGGTCCCCACCACACACACACACACTGCGCAGGCGCACACCAGCCATTTCCCCCCGCCCGGCTGGACTGGATCCGGAAAGCCCGCTACCCCCGCCCCCCGGGGCCGCCAGTCGCCTCTCCCTGCGGGAAGCCTGGCCCAGAGTCACACCAGGGACTTTGCCCACCCCCAAGACCCCCCCACCCCCCAGCTACACCTCAGCCCTGTGGCTTTTGTTCTTGTTTGCTTCTGTGGCATGCGGTTTGAACTCAGGACCTTGCACTATCTCAGGCATGCTTGCTCCTGGCCCCACAACTTGAGCCATACCTCCAGCCTGGCTTTATTTTATGGTTCATTGGAGGAGAATGACTTAGACTCTCATGAATTTTTCTGACCTGTCTGGCTTCAAACTTCCATTCACCAGATCTCAGCTCCTGGGTAGCTAGGGTTACAGGCTTGAATCACCAGTGCCCACCCTGGAACTCTTGATCATCCTGCATCAGTTTCCTGAATGCTGGGATTACAGGCATGTGCCACCACACCCAGCTTTAGAGAGGATTTTCTTGACCCAGGAAAAGAAGCCTTGACCCTGGCTGACCAGGACAAAGGTGAGGACAGGAGACCATGATTCAGAAAGACGAATAAAGACAAATGTGACCAATAATGGAAGGAACGCCCTGTACTTTCTAGTGTGGCTGGGATGCGCCGTCAGAAGAAGGTCTGTAGAGGCTGCATGGGGAGTGTTCTGGGTCCTCTCATAAGCCAGGGCCTCCCCACACACGTCTATGTCCCTGTCACATTCTCACAAGCCATGCCTGCCAAAGGGAAAACACAGCCCTGAAGTCTCTTGGCTCCTAACTGATTCTTCCCAGGGCAGAGAGGAAGATCCGTGGCCAGCTAAGCGACAGGGCCCTCCTCACACCACCGGCCAGGCGTCAGCAAGGGGCATTTGTCTGCCTGCGCCAGATGGGGCCCCCACCTCTGTACCACACTTGAGGCTAGGCCAGTGGTGAAAAGTCCACTTTGGGATTCTGCCCCTAGAGCTGTGTCCCACAGGGAGTTACCAAGCTCTGGGGATGCGTGTGAACGGGTCCTGAGGTGGTCACTAAAAGGCCCCAGTTCCCAGGCCTGTGTTTAGTAAGGGTCACGTGCAAGTGGGAATCACTTGGATTGCCCAGGTCCTCAATCGGAACATCTGTAGGGACTTCCAGGGTGAGTAAGGGCTCCTTCGCTCTGCGGTGAAGCTGGCCGCCCTCCCAGGGCTCCACCTAGCCAGGTGTCAGAGACAGAGGAGGAGAAGCCAGCCACTCTACTCTTCTGGCTGGAAGGCCTGGCTGCAGTGGGAGGGCCCAGGCGGGGCGGGAAGAGCGGCTGCCAGCTAGGAATCAAACCGAAAGTGCTCCGGCTGGAAGTGCCTCGGGAACACAAGCTGTCCAGCACTGGGACCCCGGAGGCTCAATTCCAGCCCCCCACCACTGCCCACAGACACCGGGCTGGGTGGGGGCAGGGGTGAAGTGCCTGCCCCCCCTCTGGGGGGGGGTCAGGGCCTCGAGCCTGGGTGCTGCCTAGCACCTGGAAGATGCCAGTGCCCTGGCTCCTGCTGTCCTTGGCGCTGGGCGGGAGCCCGGGAGTTGTCTCTCTGGAAAGGCTTGTGGGGTCTCAGGATGCAGCGCGCTGTTCTCAGGTGAGTCTGGGGTCCTTGGAGAGGGTTGGGGAGCACTCTGGGGCCCATCAAATCCTCATCTGGCTCCTGTCACCGCCACCACCTACAGAACCGCCCTGGCTGGTCCGGCAGGTGCTGAGGCAGGCAGAGAAGATGGAGAGGGGGAAGAGGGAGCTCCAGGAAGAGGGGTGTGGGAGGGGTGCGACCGAGCTTGACACCTTGGCAGGGGAGGTGCTTAGTTAGATTTGGGGGTGCATAAGCTCTTGGCTCTCCTTTCCCTCCTTCGCAGGGCCTCTCATGCCACCTCTGGGGTAAGTATTGTTACTTTTTAGCGAGAATATGGCGGGGCGGGGGGAGCTGGCCAGGACCCAGTCCTCCTCTGCCCACCCCTCTGGGGGTGGGTGGGGGCCACCAAACTGGATTCTGAGGGCCTCCAGCCGCGCCCCCCCCACTCACCCTGGGCCCGCAGATGGTGATGTGCTCTGCCTGCCTGGGGGCATCACGCGTGCGCCGGGCCCCGTGCTGGTGCCCACGCACCTGCGGACTGAGCTGGTGCTGAGATGCCACCGGGAGACCGACTGCGACCTCTGCGTGCGCGTGGCCGTGGACTTGGCCGTGCGTGGTGAGTCATCCTGCGACTGTACACACGAGCATGGGTGGGCAGGTGTGAGCACTGGGAGCCTGGCGTCCGGGTAGCACTGGGATCCTCAGTGCTGAGCACACTGGGCAAAGGATGCACAGACCAGCGTCTTCTCCCACGTAGTGGTAGAGCACTAGCTTTCAAACACTGAAGGACACCAGGCCTATAGCCAGCCCCCAGCAGTGGGGCTGACCCGGGCCTCGTGTTCCGATTCTTCCAGGGCACTGGCAAGAACCTGAAGATGAGGAAGAATCTGGAAGAGCACTTGGTGTGGAGCAGGGGGATGCTGGGAATGGTGAGAGGAGAGAGCTGGCTTACTGTCCCTCATCAGGGCTTTGCTTGTGGCCTGACTGACCCCCAGCCGTTGCTCCCAGCCCCTCTCCAGGCCCAAGTCGTGCTGTCCTTCCAGTCCTACCCCACTACCCGCTGCGTCCTGCTGGAGGTGCGCGTGCCGGCTGCCCTGGCTCAGGCTGGCCAGTCTGTGGTATGTGAAGTCGGTGTTCCCTTAACCTTCAAGGTAGTAACCTTCTGCAAAGCACATGTTCATGATCGTTCTAAGTCCTGCTTCTGATCAGAGCAGTGGGCACAGCCTCTCAGCCCACTGTGCCTCAGTGTTGCTGTCTGTAAAATGGGGATAAGATTAGTTCTACCTCAGGGCTGGGAAGGTGGCTCAGTGCTAGAGTGCTTGCCTTACATATAAGGCCCTGGGTTCCCTTCCTCAGCACCACATAAGCAGAAAAAGCCAGAAGTGGTGCTGTGGCTCAAGTGGTAGAGCGCTAGCTTTGAGCTGAAGAGTTGAGGGACAGCGCCCAGACCCAGAGTTCAGGTCCCAAGACTGGACAAAAAAAAAAAAAAATAGTCCCACCTCATTTGTGAGAAATCACCAAGCAACTTTGTGTGTTTAGTGATATGTCACTGTGGAGTTTGTTGGTGGTGACAGTGGTGCTGGGGACGGAGCTCAGCCTTGTGCATGCTAGGGAAGAAATCTAAGAATGAGCTCCATCCTCAGCTGTTGCTTTTTCTTTTGCTCTCTATCCTTTTTGTTTTTTCTTTCTGGTCCTGGGCCTTGAACTCTGGACCTGGGCTTTGTCCCAAGACTAGTGCTCTACCACTTGAGCCACATCACCTCTTCCGGCTTTTTTCTGTGGTTAATTGGAGGTGAGAGTTTCACGATCCTCATCCTCCTGAGTAGCTAGGATTACAGGCGTGAGCCACCGGTGCCCAGTGAGCCCTTGCTTTTTTTTTTTGAGGCAGGATCTCACTATGTAGCCCAGGATGACCTCAAACCCCTGAGTCCTGAGTTTACAGGCAGTTTCTACAAGACCAGCTGCTTTTTTTTTTTTTTTTTTTTGTCCAAGACTAGAACTTGAACTTGGTATCCAATATTTTTGCTCATTGGCTGGCACTCTGCCATAAGAGCCATGACTCCAAACCCTCATTATGACTTTAATTTCTCTATCCCTGATGACAGCTCAAGTCACATAACTTTTTACAGACGTTATCTGCTGTGCAATTTCCTTTGTAAATGCTGTTAAATATTTCACCACTGTGAATAAAAGAGGGGGTCAAGGGGGTCAAGCAGCTCACCTCCATAATCCCAGCTACTCAGGAGGCTGAGAGTGGGCATCTTTGCTTTGTTCTTGATTTTAGCAGAAATGGTTGTAGTTTTTCCCCATTCAGTATGATGTTGGCTATTTGTTTGTCATATATAGCCTAGCCTTTATTGTTTTAAGGAATGTTCCTTCTAATCCTAAACTGCTTTCTGGGCTTGAACTCAGGGTCTGGGCACTGTCCCTGAGCTTCTTTTGCTCAAGGCTAGCACTGTGCCACTTGAGCCACAGCGCCACTTCCGGCTTTTTTCTTTTTGCTTATGTGGTGCTGAGGAATCGAACCCAGGGCCTCAGGCATGCAAGGCAAGCGCTCTACCACTGAGCCACCTTCCCAGCTCCCTCATTTCCATTTCCTGGAGTTCATTTTGGTAATTTTTTTGTTTTGTTGTTTTGTTGTTGTTGTTGTTTGCTGGACCTGGGGCTTGAACTCGGAGCCTGGGTGCTGTCCCTGAGCCTCTTGGTGCTCAAGGCTAGCGCTCTACCACTTGAACCACAGTGCTACTTCTGGCTTTTTCTTTTTTATTTTTTGTCGGTCGTGGGGCTTGAACTCTGGGCCTGGGCGCTGTCCCTCAGCTCTTCAGCTCAAGGCGAGCGCTCTACCACTTGAGCTACAGCGCCACTTCCGGTTTTCTGGTGGTTTATTGGAGATAGGAGTCTCACGGTCTTTCTTGCCCGGGCTGGCTTTGAACCACGATCCTCAGATCTCAGCCTCCTGAGTAGCTAGGATTACAGGCGTGAGCCACCAGCGCCCGGCTACTTCTGGCTTTTTCTAAGTAGTTTATTGGAGATAAGAGTTTCACAGACTTTTCTGCACAGGCTAGCTTTGAACTGTGATCCTCAGGTCTCAGCCTCCTGAGTAGCTAGGATTACTTACAGGTGTGAACACAGGCACCCAGCATGATCAATATTTTTTCATATGATCGGAGGCACATGGGCATTGTGCCTTTGTGTTTCTCTCCTAAGAGTATCCTCCTTTGCTCTCACTGTGTGAACTTTACTATTCCCTGGTGCATTTTATTTATTTATTTAATTTATTATTTGGTTGTGGGGCTTGAACTCTGGGCCTGGGTGCTGTCTCTGAGCTCTTCAGCTCAAGGCCAGTGCTCTACCACTTGAACCACAGTGCCACTTCTGGTTTTCTGGTGGTTCATTGGAGATAAGAGTCATGGACTTTTCTGCCTGGGGTCGACTTCGAACTGTGATCCTCAGATCTCAGCCTCCTGAGTAGCTAGGATTACAGATGTGAACCACTGGCACCCAGCTTGGACAGAAGATATTTTGACTTAAACTGGGGCCCTGTGGCAGGAGTGTGTGTGTGTGTGTGTGTGCGTGTGTGTGTGTGTGCGCACACGCGCACATGCCCACGCGTGTGTCCATACTGAGGCTTGAATTCAGGGCTTGTGCTCTCTCTTGGCTTTTTGGCTCAAGGCCAAAGCTTTCGTGGTGGATCTCAAGCTATGTAGTTATTGCTTGCAGATGGGCTAGGGCAGCTGGTGAGCACACAGATGAGACCAAAGCCTCTGACTTTGGGGCTCCCACCACCGGTCCTCTACCAGCAGGCCTCCACCACCCCTCTCCTCACAGGGCTCTGTAGTGTTTGACTGCTTTGAGGCTGCTCTGGGGGCTGAGGTGCGAATCTGGTCCTACACTCAGCCCAGATATCAAAAGGAACTGAACCTCACACAACAGCTGCCTGGTGAGTCCCCCCAAACTCTGAGAGCCCCCAAGTCCTGGCCTCTCTGATCTCTGTCCCCTCCGGCCTCTTCCCTGGTGGGCACCAGGTCTGTCTGTCAGGGAGACACTGGAGCTGGTACTTCCTCAGTCGGTCAGTTCCTGTGCTGGCCCCCAGGCCCTGGGGGGGGGGCTGTGTGCATTGCATGGATGTGGGTGGTATTTAGGGGACAGGGAGCCCTTCCCAATACTTCCTGTAGGTCAGTTTGCTGCCTTCTTTTCCTTGGTCCCCGCCCCACTGGAGGCTTTTCTGTGATCTCTCCCCAGACTGCAGGGGTCTTCAAGTCCGGGACAGCATCCAGAACTGCAGGGGTAGGGGCCTGGGCTGGGGCGGGGGGCAGGGCTGGAGTTCCCCCCAGGGACCCTTGGAGTTGGCTCCAGCTCCGGGCTGCCACATCCCGGCTCACTGAGCTCTTCATTCATTCATCACACTCCCATTTCAGTAGCTGCTAAGTCTCTGTGAGGCATTGAGACATTCAGATGAATGTCACCTTCTTTGCTTTCTTTCTTTTCTTTTCTTTTTTTTTTTTTTTGTCGGTCCTGGGGCTTGAACTCCAGGCCTGGGCACTGTCCTTCAGCTCTTCAGCTGAAGGCGAGCGCTCTACCACTTGAGCCACAGCGCCACTTCTGGTTTTCGGGTGGTTCATTGGAGATAACAGTCTCATGGTCTTTCCTGCTGAGGCTGGCTTGGAACTGGGGTCCTCAGATCTCAGCTTCCTGAGCAGCTGGGGTTGCAGGTGTGCCTCCCCTGCCTGCTCAGTGCAGTTAGCGGTTACCTATGTATACACTTGTGTAACAGGAATAACACGATAGGAACACTGTGATGTTGCTTCAACTATTCAGACTTTTTCAACCTCATTTTGTTTTTGGTTCCTCAAACTTGGCTTGTCTGTTTGGCAATCCATAAAGACCACTCAGCTCAATAATACATACATTGCTTCCCTATTCGACAGCTCTTAACTGAGTGATTATTAGGCATGGCCATAGACCCTGGACATAAAATAATCAACAGACTTACAAAACGTTCCTTACAGAGCTGGAGGGGGCAGGCTGGGGAAGGGATAAGGGAAGACACAGTAAACACGGAGCCATGAAGAACACAGTAAGTCAGATGATGACTGGCGTGACGGGGAGAGAGGGGTGGGAAAGTGGGGAGCAGCACCAGTGTGAACATCTCCCCACGGTGCAGGATATATTTGAGAGACAAGGATTCCATGCAGAGAGAGAAGCCAGTGCAAAGGTCCTGAGGCAGGAATGTGTCATGTGGAGAAGAATGATAAGGCCAGTGTGTGTGACGGAGTAATCAAGGGCACAGGTTGTAGGAGAGGAATTTAGGGATTCGTGGCCACTAGGGTGGGTAAGGCCTTGGCAGCTTTCGGAAGGACTCTAGGTTTCATTCAGAGTAGGGGCAAGGTCTGGATGGAGCTGGGGACGCGGTCTCAGGCCTGCAGGGGCCTCCTAGTCTAAGGAGCTTGATGGACATCTCAAGGGCTAGACACCTCGATTTGGGTCTGCATAAAGGTGAAGGGAGTGTCCCCAGCCCTCTGTCCATCCTTCTTCCAGCCCTGCCCTGGCTCAATGTGTCTGCAGACGGTGATGACGTGCGTCTGGTGCTGGACGTCTCTGAGGAGCAGCGCTTCGGCCTCTTACTGTACTGGAGTCAGGTCCAGGGCACCTCCAAGCCTTTGTGGCACAGAAACCTGGTGAGGACTCTCCCACCCCAAGTTCATGTCCCCCTCAGCCAGTGTCCAGGCGAACGATGCGTGCGCACAGCACGAACGGACCCGTGAAGAACAACCAAAGCCAGGGAACACGGATGGAGAGCTCCCTGCTGGATGGAGAGCTCCCTGCTGGTGTCCTCCTCCTTAGCTTCCCCTTCTTCCTCTATCTCCAACTTTCCTCCTCTGATTCCTCCCACAGACCGGACCTCAGAATATTACTTTGAGCCATACAGACCTGGTTCCCTGCCTCTGCATTCAGGTAAGAGCAGAAGCCAGCTGAGTGCCAGGGGAGAGGCCTGGGAACTTGGTGAGGGGGTGCCTGCCCCCACTTTTTTCCTGTTGGTTGAGGGGCTTGAACTCTGGGCCTGGGCGCTGTCCCTAAGCTCTTCAGCTCAAGACAAACGCTCTACCACGTGAGCCACAGCACCACTTCCGGTTTTCTGGTGATTAATTGGAGATAAGAGTCTCATGGACTCTCCTGCCCGGGCTGGCTTTGAACCATGATCCTCAGATCTCAGCCTTCTGAGTAGCTGGGATTACAGGCGTGAGCTACGTGCACCCGCTGCTTCTACTTTCCTTGTCTCATCATTCTGAATATTCTCCCTTGAGGTGGAGATGATATACCCTTTCTCCCTCAGGTGACCAGTGGCACTGTATCTCCCCCTCCCCCGTCCTGGGTGTCCTGTGCCTTTTGCCCATTATGTGCCTAAATGCTCTCCTGGTCTCTATCCACGGCACTCCTACTTAGGACTCAGGACCCCTCAAGTATCCTCTCCTCCTCTGATTCCCTCTGTGCTCCTGTTTGGGTAGAACATATGGCTGGCTTCAATCCCTTCTCTTGCCATTTGCTGTCTATTTAACCTCTCTGAGCCCAGTTCCTTCCAGTGAAATAGGGTGTGATATCACCAGCCGCACAGGCCGCCATGAGAGGCGTGAGCTTTCCTACATCCACTCGCTTGTCTCTCTCTGACTGTGTATGCATCCAGCGAGTCTTCGGGTCCCATTCATTTGGCCTCTAGCATTATTGTCTCATTCTCTTTCTTCCTCCTCTCCATCTCCGTTAATTTGGGGCCTCTCCCACCTCTTCTCTCCACCTTCCTTCTCTGGTATTCTGGTTCTGTTCTGGCTTCCTGGTGTTCCCTCTGTACAGGAAGGAATAGTCTGTCCCAATTAGACCTTTCCCACTCTATTCTCCTCAAGATTCCCCTTATAGCGGATCTGTTATATCGGATGGAGTACTGATCAGGCTACACTCACTCTTCCCTTTGCTCTTCCCAAATGCCTGCACCCCTTTTCTATACAGCCAGATCTCCCAACGCACTTCACCTCTTTTCCAAAGCCCCCAACTCAACTACTTGGCCTCCCCCAGCTCCTACCCCACTTGTTATTCTGCTCCCCTTTCTTGTCTATTAATATTACTTCCTCTCATATTGGAGCTCTCCTCCTCCTCTTCCTCCTCCTCCTTTCTTCAGTCATAGGGCTTGAACTCAGGGCTTGAGCTCTTTTGCTCAAGGTTAGCACTCTACCACTTTGAGCCACAGCACCACTTCTGATTTTTTAAAATGTTTTTAAAAAGTATCAAAGCAGCTTTCATTGATAACGTTTGAGTTTTGAGTAGTTAATTGTAGATAAGAGTCTCGTGGGGACTTTTCTGCCTGGGCTGGCTTCAAACTGTGATCCTTAGATTTCAGCCTCTCGACTAGCTAGGATTACAGACATGAGCCACCAGCACCCAGCCTTTCATTTCTTCTTGTACGAAATAGCTATACAATAAATTTTTGGAAATGAGTGACCAATTTGCTAATTTATTTATATATTTTAACTGTGACTTTGTGATTTCCCTAAAGGCAAGCAGATCATATATAACTGAAATGCAATAATTTTATCAGAGCCTCACAATAAAGTGAGTGCTCACTGTTTGGTGAACAAATGAATGAATGAACCTCTACTTCCAAACACAATGACAGGACCCAGAGCACATATCCAGGAAATATTTACTGTAGCTTAACTGTCATTGCTTATTAACAATAAGTATTCTGAGGGCTGGGAAGGTGGCTCAGTGGTAGAGTGCTTGCCTTGCATGCCTGAGGCCCTGGGTTCAATTCCTCAGCACCACATAAGCAAAAAAGAAAAAAGCCAAAAGTGGCACTGTGGCTCAAGTGGTAGAGCGCTAGCCTTGAGCTGAAGAGCTGAGGGACAGGCCCCGGGCCAGAGTTCAGGCCCCACAACCAGACCCCCCCACAAAAAAAGTATTCTGATTAAAGCTTTAATGAAGCAATATACTATCTGGAATGCTTACACAGGGCTAAGCAGGTGCCAGGTGCTCTTAAAAATCTCACTGAAAGAATGAATGGGTCCTTGTCGAACTAGCACAGTACCAAGCACATAGTAGGTACCCACAAAGTGAGAATGAAAGCAGAGTGAATTAAAATGAAAACCGTCTACCATCCCTTATGCGTACCGTCCTAAGACGCACAGTAAGCCCTCACAAAGATGTTGCTGGCGCCTGGTGAAGTGTTTGCTGAAAGGCTAAAATTTCCATCCATTGCAAAGGCAGGGTCCTTTACTCGCTTGGGAAATGAGGCTTGTGAAGATCCCACTGTCAGGCCCAGGGCCCGGCCCGGCCTGGCCTGGTGCAAGATTGGATGGGTTGAATTGAACTGAGCCTTTTTCCTCTCCAGGTATGGCCCTTGGAGCCCGACTCAGTCAGAACCGGCTTCTGCCCTTTCAGGCAAGGTGAGTGATCCGTGTCCTCCCACCCCCCGACCTGCTGACTGGGAGGACAGGAAGGTGGCGTCTTGACCCTGGTCCTCGGCTGCAGATCCCCGGGCGCACCGCAACCTCTGGCGCGCAGCCCGTCTCCGCCTGCTGCCCCCGCGGAGCTGGAAGCTGGAGGCGCCTTGTTCGCTGCAGGCCGAGGTAGTGCTGTGCTGGCAGGCCCCAGGCCCAGGCCCCTGCCAGCCACTGGTCCCGCCCGTGCCCCCGGAGAATGTCACTGTGAATGTAAGTCAGGCAGGGCCCTGGATGGGTCGAGGGAAGGCGATGTGGGCAGCTCTCTCATGCTCTGTTCTCTGTCTTCCACAGAAGGTCCGTGAGCTCCCATTGCTGAAGGACCACCCCAACATCTGTGTCCAGGTCCGGATGTGGTGCTAGAACCCTGGGTGGGGGGGTCCTGCCCAGACCCACCCACTCCAGTCACTGTCCTCTGCACCCACTTTATTCCTGGGTCCCCTTTCTTTTTGAGTATTCCACCGTTCACTGTGGCACCAGCTGAACTAAACCAATCCATGCCCCTGCTCTCATAGAACCCATGTTTCTAATGGAGAAAGGCAAATCACAATAGCATAGTAAGTACATGAAGCAGGATGGCAATCTACTGTTTACAGAGCTAATGTTAAACTTGAATACCAGGCTCATACCTGTAACCCTAGCTACTAAGGAGGCTGGGATCCGAGGATTAAGGTTCAAAGCCAGCATGGGCAGTAAAGTTCATGAGACTATCTCAATTAAGCACCAAAAAGCTGGAAGTGGAGCTGTGGCTCAAGTGATAGAGTGCTCACCTTGAGCACAAAAGCTCAGGGACAGTGAGCACCCAGGCCCTGGGTTCAAGCCCCAAGATCACCAATACTAAGATAAAAGGTAAAGGGAGAAGGGAAGATAGGCTAACAATTTCCCATGGATGGTCAGGTGAGAAGGGATCTTCTCTTCTGTTATAAAGTGCTTGAGTCAGACATGAAAAGATCTTTAAGGTGGCTAAGGTTCATTAGCTGAGCTGAGCCTGAGAAACATGGGGTGTCCCCAGCCTTCAACCCGAACCTGCAGCCAGCCTCAGGTCCCGAGCACACAACCAGCCCGACAGGATTCCCTTTGCCTGCTCCCTTTATTCCCACCTTCTGGCCCTAGCTCTTGCTTTTCCTACTGCCCCTGAGCCTGCCCCTTCCAAGCAGGTAAGCAACTGGGAGAAGCTGCAGCTCCAGGAATGCCCGTGGGCTGGTGAGTGTGGGCTGAACCTCCCTGGAACGGGGCCACTCTAGTAAGGTGAACCCTGGAAGTCCCGGCCCCTGTAGGGGGAAGGGTGTTGAGTGCTGGGTATTGCTCAGAGTGGCCTGTCACTCCTCCCAGACTCCCTGGGGCCCCTCAAGGATGATGTGTTACTGGTGGAGACCCGAGGCCCACAGGACAACAGATCACTCTGTGCTTTGGAACCCCACGGCTGTACCCCACTGCCCAGCAGGGCCTCCACGGTGAGAGCCAAGAAACCTTCCCTCCATTGACTTCTCAGCTCCAATTTCCTGCACTGGGCCTTGTGGCTGTAGTATGGGTGTGCGTGACTCGGCCCCGGCCACTGCTCAGTGGTCTCTCGAGTCTCCCGGCTCGCCCTTCCCTAGGCAGTTCTGCCAAGAAGCAGCTGGTGCTCACCTCCGAGTGCCACCCCCGGTGACAGCTTCCCATCCCTTGGCTTGGCAGAGGGCAGCTCGCCTTGGAGAGCAGTTGCTGCAAGACCTGCATTCAGGCCAATGTCTGCAGGTAGGTAGGTGGCAGCCGTGCCCCGATGCCCAACCACCATAAAGCAGGGTTAAAACAGGATTATTTGTGCTTGCTTCTTGTTTAAGGCCTGAGGAGTTAAAGGTAGACTAAGCGTAGCCCTGGCCTAAGGAGCTCAGTAAATGGATAACCACACCCACAGGCACTAAGGGTTGGGCTCCAGAGAAAGTTTCAAGGATCTCTTCCTGTGGGCTGGATTTGACATGGAGAAAGTCAGAAAGAAGGACAGACAACGGTTGGAGCAAAGACAGAGTAGCTGTGAGAGACCTGCTGTGAGAAAGATCATAGTTGAGAATTTGGAGATCAAGTTGGTCAGAAACTGGTGGTGTTGATCACCAGGCTAACGGCTCTGGACTTGGTTATTTGTCTTGCAGTTGTGGGCTGATGACCTGGGAGCCCTGTGGGCCTGCCCCATGGACAAATGTGAGTAGTACAAGGACTGCTCTGCCTTGGCGTACCAGAGCTAGAATCATGACGGGCACCAATCTTGGGGTAGTACATGCAATGGCCTTTATCCTTCTTTGGACTCAGATAAATCAGAGAATTATTCCTTTATTCAGGCAAAAAATTAATAATAATACAAGAACTTGCAGAGATTTTGGAATCACTGAAAAGATACAATCTGCCTCATCAATAGAAGTTTAAAAGGATAGAAGCTGAAAAATAAGTTGCACTCAGTAAGAATAAGCTCCTGATGACTTACAGACTGTGTGAACTTACAACAGGATGAGCTCTTGAAGCACTGTGAAGTGTTCAGTGCTGCAAAACCACAGTAGAGCCTGACCCAGTGGGATGAGGGGTTCAAGGAAGGTCTTCAGCTGTGCTCTGAAGGCTGAGCTAAGCCAAGGGAACAGCAGTGCATTTTTGTGAAGCCTGTGGGGTTTATTTTTGGGGAAGTCCAAGGGCCACGCTGTGGCTGACTCGTGGGTCTTGGGCGGCATGCATGTCATCCTGACACCAAGATATCATGACACAAGGAATTGGGTTTCGTGTCTAGAAGGATTTTTTTTTTTGGTCAGGTGTGGGGCTTGAACTTGGGGCCTAGGCACTGTCCCCAAACTTCTTTGTGCTCAAGGCTAATACTCTACTATTTGAGCCACAGCAGCAAGTTAACTGGAGATAACAGTCTCACAGGAACCTTTTTTTCCCTGTTGGCTTCAAACCAATCCTCAGATCTCAGCCTCCTGAGTAACTCAGATTATAGGCATGAGCCACCAGCACCCAGTTTAGAAGGAATTAAACTTACACTGTGTGTGTGTGTGTGTGTGTGTGTGTGTGTGTGTGTTTTGCTGGTAGTGGGGCTTGAACTCAGGGTCTCATTCTCTTGACTTTTTTCTGCTCAAAATGGTATAGTGTACTACTTGAGCCACACCTCCACTAATGGCTTTTTGCTGGTTCGTTGGAGAGAAAAGTCTCACAGGTTGGCTTCAAACTTCCATCCTCAGATCTTAGCCTCCTGATTAGATAGGATTACCATCATTCAGCTTAAAGCCTGTACTTTTTTTTTTTTTTTTTTTGGGTCCAGTCGTGGAGCCTGAACTCTGGGCCTGGGCACTGTCCCTCAGCTCTTCAGCCCAAGGCTAGTGCTCTACCACTTGAGCCACAGTGCCACTTCTGGCTTTTTTCTTTTTGCTTATGTGGTGCTGAGGAATCGAACCCAGGGCCTCAGGCATGCAAGGCAAGGGCTCTTACCACTGAGCCACTTTCCCAGCCTCTAAAGCCTGTACTTTTTAAAAGATCTCTGGTACTGCCATTCAGTGGATGGATTGGAGGCAACGGTGGAGCTGGGATCCCAGTTAGGCTGTTGTACTCATGGAAGACAGTAAAGTCAAGTACCCAGAAACTCTAGGCTTAGCTGACATTTGAACACTAGCAACATTTGAACACTTGGCATTTTGCTAAGTGCTTTAAGTGCAACTTTTACACGTGGTAGTATCATCATCCCAACTTTGCAGATGTGAGCCTGGCAGGAAGTGAAGTCACTTACCCAAGGTCACACAATAGATGGAGCTGTTTGTGCACAGGCTATGACACTATGTGCTGTGGACTTTGGGCAAATCACTTTGTTTCTCAGGGCTTCTGTTTTTTTCTCCTGTGCAAGGAGGTTTCCTTTTTTCTATTATTATTATTATTGGTGGGGAGGGAGGTATAAGGGCTTGCTTGAACTCAGGGCCTGGATGCTGTCCCTTAGGGCTTTTGCTCAAGGGTGGTGCTCTACTGCTTGAGCTGTACTATTGAATTTTCTTTTTTTTGTGATTAATTGGAGAAAATGGAGTTGGCTTCCAACTGTGATCCTCACATCTCAGCCTCTTGAGCAGCTAGGGTTCCAGGCTTGAGCCACTGATTAGGCTTAAAGTGTAAGATTTCTAACTAGCCTGGCCTCTGCCCTGGGTCTCCCAGACATCCACAGGCGCTGGGCCCTCGTGTGGCTGGCCTGCCTGCTCATTGCTGCTGTGCTTTTCCTCTTCTTCCTCCTCAAAAAGGATCGCATGAAACGTGAGTGCTTCCCTGACCCCTGTGCCCAGGGGGGCTGGCACAGAGGGGCCCAGAGTGCGGGAGGGAAGGCGCGGGTCCCCCGCTGCCCCTCTCCCCTCACAGGGTGGCGGGGGCTCTGGGAGCAGGATGAGCGCTTGGGGGGTGAGTGTGTGCCGGGGAGGGGAGGGGGCCCGGCGGGACAGTCCGGCTCACGGCCGCCTTTTCCTCTTTTCTCCCCAGCCGCGGCCACCAGGGGCCGCGCGGCTCTGCTCCTCCACTCGGCGGACAGCGCGGGCTTCGAGCGCGCGGTG